CCTGTGGTTTTCTGAACAAAAGAGATCTGTCAGTGTTCCTGGGTCATTGTCCCAGTGTTTTTCAGTTTTGGACTTTGTCACTGTTTCCTGTTTTATTATGTTAGCTCCGACCTGTGTGCGTTATCTTTTGTTCCACTTCCTGTGTTATTACTTAGATTTAGTTCAGCTGTGTGTATCACCTTTGTTACGTCCCTCTGCAGCCTCTAATCTTCTCAGTGTGTTCAGCTGGTGCTAGAAAAGGCCCTAATGCTTTATTCATCTGGTTCCTGAATGTAAAGGAGGACTATTCATGGGCAAGGCTTCATTATATTCCTTTGCTGTTGTCACTGCAGTTGTGTGACGTCACAGTTATGTCAAACAACCACCAGAATCAAATCAAATCAAAATGTTTTTTAAATGTTTTTGTAATTTAATTCTCAAATCATCCTTTAATCTGAGTGTTCGACATTCACACATAAGAATAAAGTTTCATTCAGGCGATTGAGATTTGTCACAGCAGGAAACATTTATAGGTCAGTTTGTGTTTATTCTCTGTGTGAATCTTCATATATCACAGTCACGTTACACACGGTTGAGAGCACCCAAGCCACTGCTGCTCCAGCACTGCCAAACACTAAAGTGGCAGCCCATGACAGACCTGATGCACCTAAAGTGAAATCACATTACACACCATTAGCTGTTTGTTATACTTGTTCAACATGTGCAAAGTTTTAATTCTTCATAAAATAATTTATGATGTACATAAATTATCTTGCTCATCAACCTTTATTTATAGAGACGTGTCCAAGAAGAGCATTTCATATCTTTGACATTTAGATAAACAGCAACAGTCAAAGTGGACTAAAATATTACAATTTCTAATTTTTCTGGCAGTAATCCTGCTCTATAAGAAAACATGTCTATTTGTTTGGTTGCGGATTTTTTTACACACATTTAGAGAGAGAGAGAGAGAGAGAGAGAGAGAGAGAGAGAAAGAGAATATGTAACAAATTATCCGGTTTACCCCAGGACTGCAAGATTGCTATGACAGCTGCTAGAAGTCCACCTCCACCACTGCTGACGGCAGAAATTGACATTAGTTTGGCAGCGATGGAGCCTGCTGCTATTCCAGCTGCAGTGAACCCCAGTGTGGCCAGAATGGCAGGAGTCAGAATCACAACTCCACCAGCTCCTGGATAAAAAAGTTTATATTCATATATTCATATCAAAATTATGCTGTGGTTAATGTGATGGCATACCTGCAAACACAAGGACCGCCTTGCCTGTTAATGAAATACAAAAAGATTTCAAATAAAATCTTTACAATTATAAAAATAATTCATATCCACTGCATAATGTGATAACACTGTTATAAAATACATATATATATATATATATATATATATATACACTCACATATCTCTTCAAAGCTTGTGTCCATGCTTTCAATGATAACACTAAGACACCAAGAGCTCAACTGCAGTCATGGAAAGCTGATCCATGTCTTTTACTTTTTCTTTTTTTCAAGAGTTGACACTCCCATTTCTGAAAGAACAATACACACTAGACAGGGGAGGAGCAGCATGATGGGGTTTTTTTTCCTAAACAGTAACATATTCATCTTATGATTGTGGAAACCACATAAAGAATGAAAGAAACATTTCTTTGCAATGATCCAAATAATCTCATTGCAGTAACAATGGGCTCTGCACAATAACAAATTATGTGTAGTAATAACTTCATTATTATAACAACAAACCTGGGGCAGCACGGTGGCACGCTGGTTAGCAGTGATGCCTCACAGCAAGGTCCTGAGTTCAATTCCACCTTTCTTTCTGTGTGGAGTCTGCAGGTTCTCTCCAGGTATTCTCCCTTCCTCCCACAGTCCAAGAGCTCAACTGCACAGTCCAAACACATGCAGTTAGTGGGGCTAGGTCAGTTGGGAAGTCTGAATTGCCCATATGTGTGAATCTGACTGTGAACGATTGTGTCTACGAGTTAGTGATCCCTGAGACAGACTCAGTACCCTGCCTCTTGCCCTA